GCCAAGAGGTTGTTTCAGGGTTCAATCTGTGAGTTAGCCATGCCCTGACTTAGACCAGCCAAGAGGTTGTTTCAGGGTTCAATCTGTGAGTTAGCTGTGCCCTGACTAAGGTTAACCCAGAGGTTGCTTCAGGGTATTGATAAAGCTTGAGGTTTGATTTACCTTTTCTGTTTTACAGGCACTGTCTTGTTTAAATTTTTGGAGTGTTCCTAAAAGCATTCCAAACATTCTACGATTCCTGCAGAATTTAAAAAATTACCATGACCCATATCCATTGGCAAATAAAACACTTGACAAACAACGAATCATTTCACATAACAAAGAAATAATTTACTTTTTATCCTACCTTAATTTAGTTTTCTCGTCTGACTGTACAATATCTTCACGCTTTAAACTCAAAGAGGTTTTTGTCGTGGCTACTACAGAAGACTGGATAGTGGGCTATAAAATAAAGTATTGATTCATTATAATCAGTCAGTATAATATTGCCTGGCAGCTATACAATAAATACATCATAAAAATCAAGAGCTTACTCTTGAAAAGTCACCGATAACCTACTATCTGTGAATTGGTTAGTGTCACAGTAGCTCACCATGGCAACAAACTAATACAGCATGTGCGGTTATGTTAGGTATTGGAAATGTGGGGGGAGGGGTAGGGATGGAAATAACAACAGCATTACATAGGGAGGGGTGAGTCTAGATTCTCCTGAACTGCTAAAGTAAATCAAAAAAATGTATCAGTCATAGGTTTGAGGGAGTTATCTAGCATTTTATTGCAAACCTTGGGGGTATCTTCATCTTCATCTTCGCCATCACTATCCAGTCGTCGAGAAGGGCGATCTCCATCTTGCGAAGTCCTGGTGACAACCACTCTGCTCCACAGCCTTTATATCAATGATAATGAGGAGGAATAATAAGTATTAATAAGATATAATGATGAGACATTAATATGTTTTTCAGTTAAAGAATGTTGATGAGGAGATACTCACCGTCCTTGTGTATCCTGCCTCTTGYTTCCAGCTCCATACCCACGGGCCAATGCACTTCTCTCCGCGAAGTCCCTCTTCAAGCTCACTCGCCTGCCACCAGGCGCTGGTCTTAAAAAGCAAAATAGAACAAGGAAATTAAAATACAAGCCTTTTAAGTAGTTTTAGATCACTCTTTTTAACTTTAACTCATATACTGAAGATATGGGTCTACCATTCGTATAATTAAATCACTTTAAATTTCCTATGTGTTATTCTACGATAGAATCTTTAACAGGGCTTAAAACGAGGAATGATTCAAGATTATCACCATCATGTGCTATAAACCTTGCTTCAAATATTTTACCGCATATTTTTCTCAACAATACAATATCTTTCCAAAATCAAAAAGCACAAGAGCCTACCTAAACTCCGAAGGATCCCTTCCAGTAAGTTTCTTGATATTTTCGTCGACATTTTTGAGCCCTTCACGTGCTATTTCGACTTCTCTCTGTAAGTCTGCCACAGTCGCCATCTTTGCGTCTTGTCGATCGTCCTGATCACGTGGTGTACAGATATGAGACCACGGCACTGATATCCAGCAGTATATCAAACAATTCAGGTATATCCGTCGTGGAATTCTTGTTGTCAGTCTGTGTTTAGATATYTTCTCATGATGACATTTAACCAAGAATACCATATGACGGACTAGCCTTCGTGAATTTTTATATAATAAGTTGTGTTTTGAGTTTGATGTAAAAAAAAATGCACAGTTTTGTTGCCAAATAAGCATAATAAGACTAGAATGCTTAAGGTAGGTGATAATTTCTCAGCTAAGATGCATGCTTCAATTTTGTTTTGTCTCTTAGCTTCAAAGATAAAGATAAATCATGAGAGTAAGCATATGCGAGGTTTGCGAAAATCACTCAAATATCATTGTCGTGAAAAACGGTGTAACTAGTTACTGGGTTCCATGTCCATCGGGAAGGGAGAGTACAAAAGAATCTACAGGGCTTATTTTTAATGATAAAAATGTTGTTTTATAACATTTTAGAGTTCAAATCAGCTGTTAAGATGGACGACACTGTATCATAATATCCACCAAAGGTCGTACTATGTGTGGTTGAACTTTGTATTCAACAGGTGAGGAGCAATAATGATGAAAAGGTAAATTATACACC